AGGCAGCTCTGCCTCAGTCATATTTTGAGTGCCTTCCTACCTGAGGGGCTCGTCTTTTGGCACTATTATCAGTCACTGTTCTGCTGCTATTCATAAATATTTCACTGGCCAATTTTTTCAGAAGTAGACCACCAGGTCCTTCTTCCTAGTCTGTCTTAGTCTGGAAGCTCTGCTTAAACCTGTCCACCATGGGTGACTCTGCTAGTATTTGAAATACCGGTGGCATAGCTTCCAGCATCACAGCAACACGAGAGCCACCACAGTATGACAAACTGGTCACATAAATATCTATAAATAGTCTCATCCTTATGGCTGTTTTAAGTCTTACTGTCATACTTTGGATTGAAATTGTGCTTCAGTTTCATTCATAAACTGCAGTTACAAGCTGAGCATGGGATTTCTGTACTATGTTAAAGAGTACCCAATTATTTATTACCATCAACTTACACAGACTGCCACCAAAACAATTAATTACCCATCTTTCAACTAAAATTAAGGTTTTATTATAGTTTGCAGTACAATCCCATTATATCAAGGTGGGATAAACTATTTCTATACTTAAAGCCCAAATTCATACCCTCATACTTAGGTCCATTCAAACCTATAACTTGCAGAAACAAAACAGTTAAAAATCGTCAAAAATGTATAGCAAAATTGGGGTACTGAGCTTGTTGTTGTTGTGTGTTGTCGAGTTGATTCCAGCTCATAGCAACCCTCTAGGAGAGAGTAGAACTGCCCCATAGGGTTTTCAAGGCTGTAGTCTTTGTAGAAGCAGACTGCCACGTCTTTATCCCGTGGAGCAGCTGCTGAGTTCAAACCGCCGACCTTTCGATTAGCAGCTGAGCACTTAACCATGGCACCACCAGGGCTCCTTACATACTAGGTTTAAGGTACTATAATATACCCAAATGTAGAGTTGATGTCTGTGAAACTACATTGTCTAGTATTGTCTCACGAAAACTGCTGTAGATACTTAATGGATAATGGCAATTAAAAATTATATTTATACAACTTACATATAAATATCAGTATGTAATATACCAGGGGTCAGCCAACTATGGCCTGTGGGTCGTATCTGACCTACCAACTATTTTTGAATGACCCACAAGCTAAGAATGGTTTTACATTTCTAAATGTTGAAAAAAAGAAAAAGAAGAATATTTTGTGACACATTAAAATTATATGAAATTTAAATTTCAGTGTTCATAAAGTTATATTGGAACATAGCCAAGCTCATTTGTTTATATATTGTCTATGACTGCTTTCATGGTACAATGGCAGAGCTGAGTAGCTGTTTTTTTTTTTTTATTGTACTTCAGGTGAAGGCTTACAGAACAAATAGTTTCTCATGAAACAGTAGTACAGATATTGTTTTATGACATTGGTTA